TTTTTTTTTTGAGACAGGGTGTCCCTCTGTCTCCCAGGCTGGAGTACAGTGGTGTGATCTCAGCTCACTACAATCTCCGCCTCCCGGGTTCAATTGATTCTCCTGCATTAGCCTCCTAAGTAGCTGGGATTACAGGCACATGCCACTATGGCCTAGGTATTTTTGTACTTTTAGTAGAGACAGGGTTTGACCATATTGGCCATGTCAGTATTAAACTCCTGACTTGAGGTGATCTGCCCACCCTGGTCTCCCAAAGTGGTGGGATTACAAGTGTAAGCCACCACACCCAAACTGACTGTGTATTTCTAAAAAGCCTCTCTTCAAGCTCACTCATTCTTTCTTCTACGTGATCTATTCTACTGTTAAGACATTTTAATGCGCTTGTTCATATGTTAATTGATTTTTTCAGCTCCAGGATTTCTGCTTGATTTTTCAATATTATTCAATCTCTTCGTTAGCTTTAACTGCAAGGATTCTGAATTCCTTCTCTGTGTTACCTAGAATCTTGCTGAGTTTCCTCAAAACAGAGATTTTGAATTCTATATCTGAAAGATCATGTATCTTTGCTACTTTAGGATTGGTTCCTGGTGCCTCATGTAGCTCATTTGGTGAGATAATGTTTTCCATGATGGTCTTGATGTGGATGTTCATTGGTGTCTGGTTATTGAAGAGTTAGGTATTTATTGGAGTCTTTGCAGTCTGGGCTTGCTTGTACCTGTCCTTCTGTGATATTGTGCTCGCCTAGAGCCAGAACCGGAGCAAAACTATTTTATAAAATGCAAAACTGTTTTTAGATAAGTTGAAATGGCTGCCCCATTCTCCTTACGATAACTACTGTCCTTGGCCTCTGTAAATAGAACTGCCAGTTTGTTCCTCAAAACTATGTAAAGCTGCTTATCAGTAACTGCTAAAATCCTGACTTCTGTAAACCACTGAGGTAACAAACAGAATGACAAAAGTCCCCTAGCCCTTGGAATGTCTGGAGACCCCCGCCCTTGTCTCCACCCAGGAGGTAATTTACAGAATCCACTAGCCCTCGGAATGTCTGAAGCCTTTTCATCCCCATCCCCGCCCGTCACCCCCACTCCCAAGGTGGTTTTTCGGGTATAAAAAATCGTGGCACCCTCCTGTTGCCACCACAGGTTGGAGAGACGTGAGTCCTCTGTGGTCGCCGGCATAATAAAATGACCCTGCAGTCTGGCATACTTTTGTCTTGTGATAACTTTCTACACTCGGTCAAATACAACACTTCCTGGATAGGCTTTCCAGGTATTTGAAGGTACTTGGGTATTGGAATCTAAGTTTTTGGACTCTGCAGTGTATCTTCATTAAGGGGACCCCATGTCCAGTATCTCTGTGGCTCTTGAAGTCTAATAAAGGTACCTCCTTGATGGTGTTGGATAAGATCTGGAAGAATTCCACATTACCAGGTGGAGACTATTGTTCCCTTCCCTTACTTTCTCCAAAACAGAGTCTCTCTCTTTGTGCTGACTTGCCTGGAGCCGAGAGAGTGGTGACACAAGCACCCCTGTGGCCACCACCATTGGGACAAGCCAGCACTGTACTGGGTCTCACTCAAGGCCTGTGGTAACGGGTACCTGGCTACTGCCTATGTTTGCTCAAGGTCCTAGAATTCTAAAGTCAGCAGATGTCAAAGCCAGCCACTGCTGGGGGATGGGGCGGGCTTGTGTCCTTCCCTTCATGGTGGTGACTTCCCCTTGACCCTGGGCAGGTCCAGAGATGTTATCTGCCAGCCAGGGCCTGGAGTCAGAAACCTTAGGAATCTACCTGGTGGTGTGTTTTACTGGAGCCGAGTTGGCACCCAAGCCACAAGACAAAGTCCTTCCCACACTTCCTTCTCCTTTCCACAGACAGAGGAGTCTCTCCCCGTGGCCACCACGACTCCAGGCCACGGCGAGTTCTGGCTGGGTACTGCCAGTGTTCGCTCGAGGCCTGAGGACCCTTGGTCAGCTTGTGGTCAGTGGTGCCTGGCCTGGGATTCTCTTTTCAGGGCAATGAGTTCTCCTCTGACAAACAGCGGGTCCAGAAATGCCATTGAAGAGCCATGGACTATAACTGGGGACCCCAAGGGCCTGCTTGGTGCTCTTCCCACTGTGGCTGAGCTGGTACCGAAGCTGCAAGACAAAGTCCCCTTAACTCTTCCCTCTCCTTTTCTCAAGTGGAAGGAGTCTCTCCTCATAGTCATCACAGCTGAGAATGTGCTGAGTCACTGGAAGCCAGTGTGTCTCTGAGTCTCACCCAAAGCCCCTGACGCGTACAGCCCAGCAATCACTGCTGACTCTTCAGAGCCCCAGGGCCTAACTGGAAGTCAGCTTCCATAGATGGGACGGGCAATTCACCCCTGGCGAAGGCTGGTCTAAATGCTCCCTCTATGGGCGCTGGCTGAGCTCTGCCCTGGGCGCTTTCCCCTGTGATTGGGCAGCACTGCGTTCTGATGCAAAGTCCCCACAGTCACTGTGCTCTCCCTCCCTCAAGTTCATAGATTCTGCCTCTGTACCACACAGCCACTGCTGGGGGATGGGGCGGGCTGTGTCAGCGATTCCAGTGTGTCTTTCCTACCCTCTCCCGTGCCTCTTGCAGTGATATGAAGTTAAAACCAGGACCTGTGATCACTCAACTGATTTTTGGTTCTTATGATGGTGCTGTTTTGTGTGGACAGTTGTTCAGTTTGGTGTTCCTATGGGGGATGAGGAGGGTGGTCAATGGAGGATTCTGTTCTGCCTCTTGCTCTGCCTCCTGAGCTCCAGGTCTATGTTTGGGCTTTACCTCACTCTCAGAGTTGGTTTTGTGAAAAAGTAGAACCTGTTGGGGTTTTGCTGACTCAGAGCCTGTGTAAGGAAGGAGGAGGGATGGGGGAAAGATTCTGAGCAGAAGGCTGGGCATGGTGGCTCACACCTGTAATCCTAGCACTTTGGGAGGCTGAGGCAGGTGGATCACCTGAGGTCAGGAGTTTGAGACCAGCCTGGCCAACATGGCAAAACCCTGTCTGTACAAAAATTAGCCAGGTGTGGTGGCACCTGCCGGTGGTCCCAGCTATTCCAGAGGCTGGGGTGGGAGAATCACTTGAGCCCAGGAGTTTGAGGCTGCAGTGAGCCATGGTTGTGCCACTGCACTCCAACCTGGGTGACAGAGTGAGACCCTGTCTCAAAAAAAAAAAAAAAAAATCAAGCTAGGAAAAAGCCCCTTTGTTAATGGTGTCTGTTCACTTCCAGTGCATTTCCGCATTGTCACCCTGGACAGCAACTTTGTTCCAGTGAATGACAAGGTGAGTAGGGAGGAGGGAGTGGTGCGGACTGCGGGAGAATAGGGAAAAGGATAAGAGATTCTCTGCAAGGGCAGAAGTCCTCCTTGCCTGGGCGTGGCGAGGCGAGGCCCTCTGGGCTGGAGACTGCTGTGTGTGGGACTGGAAGGGCTGGACTAGCCTCAGAGAGCTACCCTAAATCAGCCTAGGAATAAGCAGAGGTGACCAGTTCTCAGCTCTAGTATCTACACATCAGGTTCCTGAGAGATAAGATGGTCACACGCCTGGTCATTTTATTTATTTATTTATTTTGAGACAGAGTCTCGCTCTGTCACCCAGGCTGGAGTGCAACGGCATAACCTTGGCTCACTACAACCTCCACCTCCTGGGTTCAAGCGATTCTCCTGCCTCAGCCTCCCAAGTAGCTGGGATCACAGGTACCTGCCACCACATCTGGCTAATTTTTGTATTTTTAGTAAAGACAGGGTTTCACCATGATGGCCAGGCTGGCCTCAAACTCCTTACTTCAAGTGATCCACCCATCTCGGGCTCACAAAGTGCTAGGATGACAGGCAAGAGCTACCACGCCCGGCTCCCTGTCATTTTTAAGAGTTTTCACAAACTTCAAGACCTTCTCTTCAGGACTGACAAGTGACATTGCAATTCAAATACTAAGAAGTAAGGCCAAATGTGGTGGTTCATGCTCATAATCCCAACAGTTTTGGGAGGCTGAGGTGGAAAGATTGCTTGAAGCCAGGAGTTCAAGACCAGCCTGGGCAACAAAGTGAGAACCTATCTTTACTTTAAAAAAATTTTTTTAAGGGATAAAGGAGAATGTCTGCTTCCACTATGTTTCTATGAGGCAAAATAATTTATAAAGTAGGTAATTTCTCTTAAGTAAACATTAAATAAATATATGCCAAGGGTTAAAATGTAGCAACATTTTGGGAATACTTGGCTTGTCCTTGGACTCCCCATCCCCAACCTTTTAATAGGTTTGATGTCAAGTTGGAACACATGTCATTTCTACATGCTTCTGAGACACTGACCTCCCGGACACCCCTGCTTCCTTCCTCTTCCGTCTGTCACAGCCCATATATTCAAATGAAACTTTTAGAGATAAACATAAGCGAAGGCATGATTTCCGTTTTCCATCTTCATGTTCTCAGAGCTGCTGTTTCCTTTCCCTATGTGCAGGGAAGTTATTAGCTTGTTACTGATTAGTAATGCCCTAGATGCTTGTCTTTCCCAATTTAGATTTCCTTTTAACTCCTCCTTCCCGTCACCTGTAGCTCTTCTTTGTCAGGAGTTCAGTATAATGTTGAGTACTTATTTCTTATCACCCCCTGCCACCACCTTTTTCTTTTTTTTTTAAATTTTAAGACAAGGTCTCATTCTGTCACCTAGGCTGGAGTGCAGTGCACGGTCATGGCTCACTGAAGCTTTGACCCCTCGGGCTCAAGTGATCTTCCCACCTCAGTCTCCCCAGTAGCTGGCACCATAGGTGTGCACTACCACCCCTGCCTAATTATTTTATTTTTTGTAGAGATTGGGGGAGGGGTCTCACTTGTTGCCCAGGCTGGTCTTGAACTCCTAGCCTCTCTCGCTTCATTCCCCCAAAGTGGCACCGCACCTGGCCTGAGTACTTATTTATTTTTATTTTTTTTTAAAGATGGGGTTTCACCATGATGGCCAGGCTGGTCTTGAACTGCTGACCTCAGGTGATCCACCCACCTCGGCCTCCCAAAGTGCTAGGATTACAGGCACGAGCCACCGCGCCCGGCAGGAATTATTTCTTTACAGACTGTTTTCTCTGTAGCCGTAACAAGGACATGCCAGGTTCAAAACGCGTCTGCAGCCAGCACTATTGTAGACTCACTTACTCTTCGGGGTTCATCTCATCAACTACCCCCGTTGGGTTACCTTTCCTTTGCTCCAATGATGCGGGATTACTTCCAGGTGTTCTGATTTCCATAGTTAGGCTCTCTTTCTCTTGTAAACTAATTCCTTCCTCCTCACTCCGTTTCTCTAGCCAGGCCCTCCCTCCAGATTCAGTTGAAACATCGAGATTTACAAAAGGAATTTTACCAAGAAACTGAGGATAAAAATTGTGTTTATGTAACCCGCTCAGTGGGTTCACCTTGCCTGCTGCTTAGACTGAGCCGATTTATCAAGACAGGGGAATTGCAATGAAGAAAGAATAATTCATGCAGAGCCGGCTGTGCGGGAGACCGGAGTTTTATTGTTACTCAAATTAGTCTCCCTGAGTATTCAGAAGTCAGAGCTTTTAAAGATAATTTGGCGAGTAGAGGCTTGGGAAGTAGGAAGTGCTGATTGGAGATGCAGGGTCAAAGTGAGGTTTTCTTGCTGTTTTCTGTTCCTGGGTGGGATGGCAGAACTGGTTAAGCCAGATTACTGGTCTGGGTGGTGTCAGTTTATCCATCAAGTGCAGGGTCTGCAAAATATCTCAAGCACTGATCTTAAGTTTTACAATACTGATGTTATCCCCAGGAGCCATTTGAGGAGGTTCAGACTCCTAGAGCCAGAGGTTGCATGACTCTAAACTGTAATTTCTAATCTTACAGCTAATCTGTTAGTCCTGCAAAGGCAGACTGGTCCCCAGGCACCAACGGGGTCTTTTTGGGAAAGGGCTATTAACCATTTTGTTTCAGAGTCAAACCATGAACTGAATTCCTTCCCAAAGTTAGTCTGTTGTATGCCCAGGAATGAACAAGGACAGCTTAAGGGTTAGAAGCAAGATGGAGTTAGTTAGCTCTAACTTCTTTCACTTTGCCATAATTTCCTGAGTTATAATTTTGCTAGGGTGGCTTCAGTCCCTCCCTCTGGGTTTTATAACATCTTAATTTTAGACGTGGGCTATGAAGATGGGAAGAGGCTGTCGATTACTCTGGCTTCTTCTTGCTGACAGGGGGCGTAGTGGGGGTATGAGTGGATGACTTTAGAACCGCTTAGAAGCAAGATTGAGTAGGTTAGGTCTGATTTCTTTCACTGTCATAATTTCCTCAGTTTTAATTTTGCAAAGGCGGTTTCATTTACACAGCACAATATTTTATCCCCAAACAAGTAAAGTAAGCCTGATATTAACTGCCCCTGTCTAACTTGATTGCTACACTCAGTTATTCAGAAACTCCAGGCAACTTCCAGTCAAAAATGCTACTTTCTTTTTTTTTTTTTTGAGACAGAGTTTCACTGCATGGCCCAGGCTGGAGTGCAGTGAGGGGATCTCAGTTCACTCTGACCTCCGCTTCCTGGGTTCAAGTGATTCTCCTGCCTCAGCCTCCAGAGTAGCTGGGGTTACGGGCATGTGCCACCATGTCTGGCTAATTTTTGTATTTTTAGTAGAGATGGGGTTTCACTGTGTTGGCCAGGGTGGTCTGGAACTCCTCACATGAGGTGACCCGCCCGCCTCAGCCTCCCAAAATGCTGGGATTACAGGTGTGAGCCACTGTGTCTGGCCTAAAAAAGGGTTTTTTTGTTTTTGTTTTGTTTTGTTTGAATTTTATGGACATCTATATCAATTTTTTTGTTGTTGTTGTTTCGTTTTGAGACAGAGTCTCACTCTGTCACCCAGGCTGGAGTGCAGTGGCGCAATCTCGGCTCACTGCAATCTCTGCCTCCCAGGTTCAAGCGATTCTCCTGCCTCAGCCTCCTGAGTAGTTGGGATTACAAGCACCTGCCACCACACCCAGCTAATTTTTTGTATTTTAAGTAGAGATGGAGTTTCTCCATGTTGGCCAGGCTGGTCTTGAGCTCATGACCTCGTGATCTGCCTGCCTTGGCCTCCCAAAGTGCTGGGATTACAGGTGTGTGCCACCGTGCCCAGCCCTTGATATCAATCTTAGTGATATTCTCCTCCTGATGTTTGTACAGCCCAGGTTTGTGGAAGTCCTAGCTCATCTTCATCCTACCTCTCCTTGTTTTTTGGCTTTTCTTGAAGAATTGCCATTATCCCTAATATCAAGGCTGATACTTGTATCTAGTGGTTCAGCTTCTTCACTGGTTGGCATCACATGGCACTTGGCCCAAGAATCAAAAAATTAAGCACTGTCTTGATTTCATTCTCTCCCGGTTAGGTCCAAACTGGTCCTGCACCCTCTCCCAATAAAACTAAATTCCTGCTTTCAATCTCATCACGTTGCAAGCACAATGACCAGTTCCTCACAAACTTAACGGTTTTCGCAACCATTTAGCAGCTACTGTTTTGAAGAAGCTGATACATGATTCTCCAGTGGAACTATTTCAAACAATTTTTAAAATAATTATTTGCAATGCTTGAAAGTAAGGTTCCTGGCCAGGCGCGGTGGCTCACGCCTGTAATCCCAGCACTTTGGGAGGCCAAGGTGGACGGATCATCTGTCTGAGGTCGGGAGTTTGAGACGAGCCTGACCAACATGGAGAAACCCCATCTCTACTAAAAATACAAAATTAGCCTGGCGTGGTGGCGCATGCCTGTAATCCCAGCTACTGGGGAGGCTGAGGCAGGAGAATCGCTTGAACCTGGGAGGTGGAGGTTGTGGTGAGCTGAGATCGCGCCATTGCACTCCAGCCTCGGTAACAAGAGTGAAACTCTGTTTCAAAAAAAAAGAAAAGAAAGTAAGTTTCCTGCCCACAAGCATTCAAGCATTCAGATAGTAGAGGAAGAGGCCAGGAGATGGTTGGCTACCAAGAAGAGGTTTAAACATTGGGGGGCCCCCTGGTGCTAATACGTCTTTTAGGGCATGTTTGTTTTGCAAGAGCTCAGTCAGAGGGCAGTGGGACTGCTCTGACGCTCCAGCTCTTCAAATCTTTTGGAGACTGGCAATTCCTTTGAGATTCCTGCCCACTCCTTTCTTCTCCTCCTGCCTTGTCTCCCTCCCAAGAAGTCTTTGCTCCCATTGTTATTCTTTTCAGGGAACAAAAGAGCCATTTAGAAAGGAAGAATGAAGTAATGGGCAAGAGAGAAAGGAAGAATTCTGTGTGAGCATTTGCTGTCATGAACCTTATTGCTATCAACCCTCTTTAACCCGCATTACCTGGTTTTCCTTTTCAGTACTCCATGGTGGAACTACAGGTAAGTGGAAGTTTCTTTCTCTTCTCTGTCAGTTGTGGAAGAGGAAGAATGAGAATTTGATGCTAAACCTTGAAGAGAGAAGCAAGTCTGAGATCTGGGCCCAGAGCCCCACGACTCTGCCCAGCACCGAGCACCCACATCCATCTAAGCTGTGCTTGTTCTCTTGCCTCTGCCCTCCTGGTCTCTCACACCTAAATTTCCGTAGACAGGACGCCAGCCTCTGTAATGACTACACCGCTCTCTATTCCTCTAACGTCTCTGTGCCCAGCTGACTTAACTAGGCTTGGTTCTGTACGACCCTTAATCTAAGTCATGTGCCTTTGCCATAGACATGCTCAACAGGTACCTGACAACACAAACACCTGTGAGAAGTGTTTTAAAGGAAAGGATCTAAAAGAGTGATTTCCCCACAATATCTCCTCCATTTTTCCATTAAATCAATTTCCTCATGTTTTAGGTACCTTACAGTCAGTTTCCTCAATCTTTTCCCCTACTAGGGACCAGAAACAGAGTAAACATTCTTTGTAAATGACATCCCAAGTTCTACTTTCTAAAACTGGAGATAACACTTTAGAGGACTCAGTCTGCTCTCCCTGGACACAGACCACAGGGGTCATGCACAATGGGTGGGGTTCTTTACCTGCATTCTGTGGTGCAGACTGGAAAGCAAGCAGGCGGGCACATCATGCACTTTCTCTACTGGACAGGATCCAAACAGCAACAGGATTGCACAGTGGCTGGAAGTGGTGCCCCAGCAAGGCATTGTGGACCTGTCCTTCCAACTGGCGCCAGAGGCAATGCTGGGCACCTATACCGTGGCGGTGGCTGAGGGCAAGACCTTCGGCACTTTCAGTGTGGAGGAATATGGTATGTGGGGGAATGGACAGGCCAAAGTATTGGGCATAATCTCGTCTTAAAATCAGCAAAGGTAGAGTAAAATCTACTCTGGGAAATAATTATTTATTCATTTCTGAATCAGTGCTAAACCAGCTAGTAACTTCAGGAGCATTCTACCTAAATAATGCCTCCTCGCCGGGTGTAGTGGCTCACGCCTGTAGTCCAAGCACTTTGGAGGCCAAGGCGGGCGGATCACCTGAGGTCGGGAGTTCAAGATCAGCCTGACCAACATGGTGAAACCCGCCTTTAAAAAAAAAAAGCCTCCTTCATTAGATCCATTAATTTAATTCTCACTGTTTACACCCCTCTGCTCACTGCCTGTGTGAGTCCTCCTCCAATTCTTTCTCCATTTCCCCTTTTACTCTCTTCAGTGCTGCCGAAGTTTAAGGCGGAAGTGGTGGAACCCAAGGGGTTATCAACGGTGCAGGAGTCTTTCTTAGTAAAAATCTGTTGTAGGTAAGAGCAGGAGCTGGGGGTCGGGTGGAGATTAAAGCTGCATCAAGAGATATGATGAGAGAGTGACACGGGGAGAGGGATTACAGCTGGGCCAAAACTTGGGGTATTTTATGTAATTCAGAGTCACGACTTATTCAAGAACATTATTTATTTATTTGTTTTATTTTTGAGACGGAGTCTTGCTCTGTCGCCCAGGCTGGAGTGAGGTGGCATGATCCGGGTTCAAGCAATTCTCCTGCCTCAGCCTCCCCAGTAGCTGAGATTACAGGCACGCACCACCATGCCAGGCTAATTTTCGTATTTTTAGTAGAGAAGGCATTTCGTCATGTTGGTCAGGCTGGTCTCAAACTCCTGACCTCAGATGATCTGACCTCCTTGGCCTCCTAAAATGCTGGGATTACAGGCGTGAGCCACTGTGCCTGGCCAAGAACATTTTTTTTTTTTTTGCGACGAAGTCTCGCTCTGTCACCCAGGCTGGAATGCAGCGGCGCAGTCATGGCTCTGCCTCTTGGGTTCAAGTGATCTGCCTGCCTCGACCTCCCGAAGTGCTGGGATTATAGGCATGGGCAGTGGCCTGGATTGTCAGAGCTTTCTTTCAGAGGCGAGAGTGTGAGAAGGAAGAAGTGGTGTTTGAGGGAACAGACTGGGATCTCAAGTGGAATTTCCCAGCTCTGACTCCTCATGCTTTTCTTGGTTAGGTACACCTATGGAAAGCCCATGCTCGGGGCAGTGCAGGTATCTGTGTGTCAGAAAGCACATACTTACTGGTATCGAGAGGTGGGACGGGAACAGCTGCCTGACAAATGCAGGAACCTCTCTGGACAGGTGAGTAAATGGCATGTAACAAAAGAACCTATCCACATGTCCCAAAGAGAAAGCTCCAATCTGGGAACGTGGTAAACAACCCAAAGTAGAAAGCATTTCCCAGAATTATTATCCCAGTTCCAAAGAACAAAGAACAAAGACTCCCCTAAAAGAGTGGGTGCAGTGGCTCATGCCCGTAATCCCAGCACTTTGGGAGGCTGAGGCGGGCAGATCACGAGGTCAGGGGTTTAGGACCAGCTTGACCAACATGGTGAAACCCGGTCTCTACTTAAAAATACAAAAACTAGCCAGGTGTGGTGGTGCACACCTATAATCCCAGCTAGTTGGGAGGCTGAGGCAGGAGAATTGCTTGAACCCGGGAGGCGGAGGTTGCGTGAGCTGAGAGCGCACCATTGTACTCCAGCCTGGGCGACAGAATGAGGCTCTGTCTCAAAAACAAAAAACAAAAATCAAAACAGGAAATCTTTCAGATTCTGCCTTGGAACCAAGGAATTTACCTCAACCCCTGTAAGATACAATTTTCTTGTTTTGAAGTCCTTTATCTTTCCCTTTCCCAAATCTTGGAGCCTCGAAGTCATTTCATGATTACATATGTGCAGGTACATACTCCATGTTATAGGAGAGTTTTTCTACATTAGAAACTAAAGTGTGGAGATAAATTATTTCCTTCTACAGTACGTTAAGAAATGGATGTAGACATTAGATTCCTCATCTGCTCTCTGTCTCTGTCTCTGATCGCCTCACTAGACTGACAAAACAGGATGCTTTTCAGCACCTGTGGACATGGCCACCTTTAACCTCACTGGATATGCGTACAGCCATGAAATCAATATTGTGGCTACTGTGGTGGAGGAAGGGACAGGTGAGTAGGGTACTCCTTGGTTCATTAAGAAAAGAGAAAGAGGCCGGGCACGGTGGCTTACGCCTGTAATCCCAGCACTTTGGGAGGCCGAGGCGGGCAGATCACAAGGTCAAGAGATCGAGACCATCCTGGCCAACATGGTGAAACCCTGTCTTTACTAAAAATACAAAAATTAGCTGGGCATGGTGGCACGGGCCTATAAGTACCAGCTACTTGGGAAGCTGAGGCCGGATAATCGCTTGAACCTGGGAGGCGGAGGTTGCAGTGAGCCAAGATTGTGCCACTGCACTCTAGCCTGGAAACAGAGCAAGACTCTATCTCAAAA